GGCGTCTCCAGCATAACTAGCAGTCTACCTGAGGCCGCTTGCCCGCCGGCGGCAAGTTCCACCGCCACTTTTCCAGCTTATGCGACCTTCGGTCATCAGCCATTCGGCTGGGGTACTTCGCCGGTGGCCGCTTCTGCCCACCAGGCCCCGACCTCCTCCACCTCTAACTCGTCCAGCAGCCTTCCTGGCCGTGGGCCTTCCACCCAGTCGATTGCACCGATGCAGTTTTTTCCTTCCACATCGGGTGAGTGCCTTTCTACCTCCACCCTAGGTCTCCCCCACACCTCCCTAGGGCCAGAAGGCCCAACTGGTTCTTCAGGGTTAGGCCTATCTAATATACATGTACCTAACCCCCATTCACACTTAGGCTTAGCTTCTAGTGCCAATGCCCCCAGCTACCTTGACGGGGGCGAAAGGGGGGCCCTCATCTCAATTTGCGAACCCCTTGGGGGTGGGTTCCCGGTGGGTGTCAAGGAAAAGATAATCAAGAGTGAATTTATCGAACTCGATACCCTACTCAGCCATCATGCCTCCCCGAAGCCACCCACCCCTAACCTCACCTTCTCCCTAGATAAGGCAGGCCAACTTTGCATCAAAGATACACGAAAAAAAACGCAAATAACCTCTATCCTATCATGGACCGATGCATTTCTGATCTTTGCATCAATTTTCTTGTCAGCGCACCCGGGGCGCAATCAAGAATTGCTTAAGTACATGCATGTTATCTGCACGGCAGCTGCTCGGTTCCCTAACCGCGGCTGGCTCGAGTACGATAGGCAGTTTCGAATGCGGCAACAACTTCACCCCAGTCGTCCCTGGTCCATCATCGATGGAGAACTGTGGGCCCTCTACATCACTGCCCCTGGGCCTGCTCAAGGAAGCTTGGGGGGGCCCTGGCTTCTGGGCCAAAGCGTGCCGGTAGCTCCTTTCGTCCGTACCCCCACCTACCCAATAGGAATGGAGCCCCCTGTTTTGCATTCAACCGACCCACTGGCTGCCCCAGAGCCATTGCACATTCACCCACAAATGCCTCTCTTGCAATTCCGCCGGCCATGGGGCATTTGCCTGCAAGTCACATGCAAACAAAACCAGCCAAAATCCTCAGTAGTCTCAACCTCCACACCCCCGCTAACAAACCTCTTTGCGGTTCCTCAACTAATTGCCTATGCTGCCTTGCCCACACCCCCATACGC